AACAAAGTAGCTTTATATTGATTTATTTCCAATAGTATAATCCACTATTTGAAGATATACAATCTTGAAAGTATATAGATGCTTCAAAAAGAAAGCCAAATAATTGGACTCTATAATAGAATAAATGATCAGGATTCAGTAGGACTTATTATAATTATCAAGTTGAAACAAGCACAGATTAAGCACTGGGAGCCCCACAATCTTCTTTCATGTAAATCCCTAGATCATCTCGATAATAAAAGAAATTTCACATTATAAGTTTTAAAGTTGACTAAGGACTTGAGACTAACTTTCCAGAGCTGGAAGTAGAATAATATTTTTGAATGTATTAAAGGCAATAGTCCAATTCAAGAATATCTAATAGTAGAAGAATATAAAAGGGCAATACCATCTTTGCAAAATAACAGGTTAATGTACATAGACCAGCTGATAAATCCAAATCCCACAAAATTCAGAAAATAAAGAATAGTTCAATTTATCAAGCACACTAGCAAAGGTTCTATTTCAGGATAGTATGATATCCTACAAAGAACTATAACTAAAGAAAGTATAGAAGATTTCACACTTTAAAAAAAAGGATGGGAAGAAAAATGGCTATCAAAATGCACTAAACCTGAACCTGGCAGAGATAAAAGAAAGAAAACCTGGATAGTTATTCAGAAAGAGAATCAACAAATATTATAGAGAAAAATGATTTGAGAGAACAACCAAGGTATTGCAATAATTCATCATTTCAACCATCAGAAAATAGCAGATGGTCTAGAAACAGTTCTTAACAAATACACAAAATGCTTACTAAACAATAGAAATGAAAACAAATGTAATATAGAAATAGAATCAGATTTGATCTATACTATACCATTCTTAAAATATCAAAAAAATACTAGGAGAGTGCAATCATTAAAAGTTCCTTGTTTTCTATTGGAACTAAACAGTATAATGATCAAGAGTATAGCTCTAGAAACCCAAGATCTGACAAATGTTCAAATTTAAAAAATGGAACAAGTATTAATAGGAAATTGGGAACAAGAAATACTCAGAGACAATGTCAAGCAAAGAGTATATCAAGATCACCTACTTGAAATTCTCCAGTGCAATCAAGAATTATAGAAGAAGCTGACCTTCTACTTTGATGGATCCTTAATTAATCATAGAAATGAAAATACATAAATATGTGTAACATGGATACAAATAGAAGAAGCTGGAAAAGAAAGTAAATTTCAGACAGGGTCAAAAACTGGTTCTCATCCACAAGGGCAGAACTAATGGCATTGATTACAATAGCTTTAATAACTTTGATAGATAGTATGATTAAGATCTTTACAGATAGTCAAGTTTGTATCTTTAAATGGAAAAAGCTAAAGAAAGAAGATCCAAAGATGACACACAAAAGATGGCTAAAAGAAAAAAATTGATCATTATGAATAGAATGCTAGATCTTGTAAAGAAAAAGTATATCCAATCAATGTTGGCCAAGATTAAAGTCCACTTTAATGATCCATGAAATGAAGAAGCATATTAACTAGTTAAAGAGACTTTAAAGCTATCAGCAATAGAATAAAAGAGTCTCAAGTCAAGCAAGATATCCATAAAAACTATATGGCACAAAGAAATAGTAGATAGTTCAATACAACAATTCATTAAACAAATCAATAAAAAATCAACAGTTCTATTATAGACACAGCAATACAAAATAGAGACAAAATGGTATTACTAAGTTCACAAGCATCAAACCTATTTATCAGATCTGGCATGGGAAAGGTTAAAAAATAAAAATATATAAAATGTCTCTTTCAAAAGCTCACAGAAAAGAAGCTTCCTGATTAAATTAACCAATAATAAACTACTTACTTTAAGCAAGCTAATAATAAGAAGACCAGACCTATATAAGTAATTAAGATATATAGTATACAACTAGTATAAAAAAACAATAAAACATTTATTAGAATGCTCTGGTTATAAGATTGAGATTCTAGCAATATATCAAAAAGAATTTGAGACTTTCCTTAAAGAATTCAACAAGTTGTATCAAGAATGTAAGAGAGAAGTAGATGAAAAAATAATACAACTAGTAGTCGACATAGAAGAGAAAAATGTGAATCAGATAAATGAACCTTCAGACTAATAGAATTAGTCTCGCAAACCAGTTTGAGTATTCTTAACTTTTGTGTAGAATTAGTAAAAAGTAATGCAATCAAAGAAGCTACTAACCTAAACTGTTATGGAAAGAAGCTAGGAACAATAACAAAAAAAATGGATTTTAAAAGTATAAAAGAAGGTTTATAATCAGATTCAGAAACAAGTATGGAATGTGAGATGTAAAAAGATTATTGAGTGGGAACAAGAACAAAGAATTGATAGAAGAGCAAAATATAAGAAGGTTCAGGAAGCAAGAAAACAAGATCTACAAGATAATCCCAGTCACAAAAGTATAAGATAAAGAGAAAAAAAAAAAGAGTGTGAAAACAAAAACCTTGTAGAAATTATAAGAAATGGGATTAAATATAGGATGAAATAATTGGGTTTTGATCCTCATCAGAACCTCGTACAGTGATCTGCAGCAATGACTTGCAGGCGATGATGTTAGAAGTTGAAAGGTTTTTTACCTAAACTACTAATGAAGCAATAAATCACTTCTGAAGTTGTACTTAGAGTCTTAGATAAATATAAGATTTTGATGAGTGGGTTAATTAGAGATTTAGCTTTAGTACACATATATAATATATAGTTTACAATTATTTAATAAAGCACACATAACTAGCTTGACAGAGAGTTAAAAAAAAAATATAAATATTTTTATATAACTTATTTATTATTTAAATTTTAATAGTATTTAATTTGAATATTTTATTATTTTATTTTTCAAAGTCTTTAATATTTTTTAAAATTTTATAAATTTTAGATTTTTTTTGATTTATTAGCAAAAATTAATATTTATAAAAAAATTTTTAATATCTAGAAAGATATATATAAACTAATATTAATTTAATTAAAAACTTAAAAAATTAATATTGAACTTTTCTAAATTACTGTAAATTAATACTAGTTAAAATTATATAATTTAACAGTTGAATTATTGTCAAATTTGATTAAATTTAATAATAAAAATATTAATAAATTTTTTTCAATTGCTGCTATTCAATATATTACTATTTCAACAATTAAATGACAATCTAAAATTTAGCAATCAAAAAATTTAATAATAAAAAATTCATCAATTAAAAGTATAACAATAAATTGTCAAAAATTTTATTAACAATTTATTAAATAATTCATTAATTATTTAGCAAAAGTTCATTAAAAGTTTATCACAAAATTATTTATTAGTAATTTAATAAAATTCAATATTAATTTATTAATAATTCATCAAATATTCATTAAAAATTCAACAACTATTCATTAATAATTTGATAACTATTTATTAAAATTTTCATTAAAAATTTAACAACCATTCATTAAAACTATTCATTAAAAGTTTATTGATTAAAAATTCAATAATTAATTATTTATTATTTAACAAAAATTTATAAAACTTGTGAAAAAAATCATTTATATTTATAAATTATTTGATATTATTTATATAATAATATAAATTATATATTATGTATTATATTATAATTTATATTATTTACAATTTATAAATATAATTTTATATATAAGTTTATTAATTTTTTTACTTTATTGTTAATAAATAGTTATCAAATTTTTAATAAATAATTTTAATAAATAGTTAATAAATTTTTAATAAATAGTTTTGATAAATAGTTACTGAATTTTTAATGAAAAGTTAATAAATTTTTAATAAATAGTTTTGATAAATAATTGTCAAATTATTAATTAATGATTGTCAAATTTTTAATGAATAGTTAATAAATTATTAATAAATTAATAACAAATTTTTATTAAATTATTAATAAGTAATTTTGTGAACTTTTAATGAATTTTTGTCAAATAGTTAATAAATTATTTGATAAATTATTAATGAATTTTTTGATGAATTGTTAATATATCAATTTTTGTAATATTTGCCAAATTGTTTATTTTTTGCTGAATGTTACACAAGTGACAATATGCCGAATAATTTTTTTTTTGACTAGTATAACTTGTTTAAGTATTTTTTTTCTCTTATAAAATATACTATAGTTAAGAATTAAAGAAGATTGTTTTTGATCTTCTTAATAATAAAAAAATCTTTTGAAATATTTAAAGTGCTGTGGCTTGTTGCTTTGTTGTTGTTTAAATAGTATTAATATTTTTTAAACCTGTTTTCTTTTTTTCAAAGAAATTATCCAAAAAAAAAAAAAAAATTGAAATTGGTTACAAGAATTTATTTTTATTCGTAAATAATTTTTCGTCTTCTAATAATAGACAAGTAATAATTGAAAACTAATATTAGATAATTGGATTTTAATCTTGATTAAAACTTTAATAATAAATCTATAATAGTGATCTGCAAGCAATGAAAAGTTTTAACAATACAAATATTATATGAACAGTTTACATTGGTTTAAAGCATATAGAGCTAACCTGACAGAGGGTTATAAAAATTAAATTGAGCAGTTCGAGTAATATTATATCTTCGTCAGCACCATATACAGTAAGATACCGTTCCGCAGATTAACTAAAATGGACTATAAAGTTACGTATATTGTTTACAAGCGCATAGTGATGTAGTTTTTTTTTTTTGGTATTTCATAGTGTACAAATTTCTTTGATCTGCACCCCTTCGTTTCGCAACTTATTTGTCAAACCCATAAATAAATTCAACATGAAAGTCTCGTCTCAAATTATTATTAAAGATGAAACAAAATTGGTCTAAATCGAAGCGAGTCGAAAGTTCGGCAAATCGAAACATAAGGTTTGGCACATGCAAATCATGCGATAAACCAAATACCCATGAGAGTTGGTGTCAAAAGTGCAGCGCAGAAGTTTTTCGTCAAGATTTTTGTAATTGGACAAGCGGCAACCTAGCAATTGATAAATTCATTCGGGATTCGCAGCTAAAGGCAAAAAACAATAATCAGGTGTTGGAATGGATACCTTACAACAGATTTAGGGATTTAACTTTCGTTGCGAGAGGAGGATTTGCGAGTGTTTATTATGCGATCTGGGTTGATGGATTCATTAGAAAGTGGGATCACAAGGAAGGTAAATGGGAAAGAAAGGGTAGGTGGAAGGTGGCTTTAAAGGTTCTGGATTGTTCCAACAAAGTGACCCCGGAGTTCTTTGCGGAGGTGGGGGGACTTTTCTTTCGCGTTCGTGATGTTTTCTTTGGTGGGTTGGACTCATTAATATTTTACGTTGGCAGGTACAAGCGTGCATTCGGTGCGGTGGGGGATACGGTTTGATTCGCTGCTATGGGATATCGCAAGACCCCAAGACGAAAAATTATGTGATCGTTTTGTATCACGCGCGTCATGGAAGCTTAAGGAATTACCTGGATCAACACTATGGAGAACTCAAGTGGATTCAAAGACTTGGAATTCTCAAACAAATCTCCGAAGGGCTTAGCAAAATTCATCAGGCGGGATTTGTTCACAGGGATTTTCATAGTGGAAACATTTTGCAAGGAAGCGTCTCGGAAATATCCGATTTGGGTTTAACCGGACCTGCAAACAAGAAAGGTTCGAAATGCAGAGAAGTTTATGGAGTATTACCTTACGTGGCGCCCGAAGTGCTGCGCGGACAAGGTTATACACCAGCAGCAGATATATACGGTTTCGGTATGGTGATGTGGGATGTATTGACTTGTCTGCCTCCGTTTGATGATCGCGCACACGATGCATACCTCGCGCTGGACATATGTCTCGGGAAGCGTCCGGAAATCGGGGAGGATACACCCAAACCGTTTGCAAAATTGATAAAATGTTGTTGGGATGCTAATCCTTTGAAAAGACCTACAGCCCAACAGTTGTACGAAACATTTTACCGATGGTATTGGGATTTGCGCGATGGAAAAGTGACGCCAGTTAGCACAGCATTCATAGCCGCGGACGATAACATGCCTCAACCGGACACGCCGGCCTCGAGCCGGCCAGTCACTCAGACGCATCCCCTTGCGATATATACGAGTCGATTGCTCAACTTTTCTAACCTACCGGAGCCTGTTAATGCACCCTCGTCACAATACGGTCGTTCATCCACCACCAGCAACGAAAGTGGGTCATCAAGTTTTTCTCTCATTAACGTATTTTGTCCTTGGATTCGATTTACGCATTACTCACTCATTAATCGGCAAATTTGTATTATCATTGACCCGCCTTATCTTCAAAGATCCCAATAATAGAAATGACGAAGAAACTGATGGTAAGATATATAGTCGCCTGATCTTTTATTTTTCTTCCTTATTTCAATGATTGATCGTGTTGATTTTTTGTCTGTTAATTTTATATCCCACGAACAGCTTACGTCACGAGGCAATATGAGAACGATCTTATATTAGGTATTTATATCGCATCTCTTTCTGGTTGGACATGACGAAATCTTAATTCATTGCATCCTTCGACAGAACCCGAAGCTCTCGCGACCAGTAAAATAAAAGTATTCGTGTCGCCGGAAGAAGGTATCGTGAGAGCCTTAATAAATTCTCGTCATGTATAAACAAGTTATTTATTATTTTTTGGCACGATTACCTTCTATTCCTCTCGCAGTTACGTTTCAACCCGAAGATGACTAGATGGCGAGAAGACCGGAGGATTCGGCAGTGAATGACATTATCATGATTATATAGTTATTGTTTGTCGAATTTTTTTTTTTTCGGAGATGCGAAAAAAAAAAAACATATTTATTAACCTAATATTTATTGGTGATCATCTGCCGGTGGTTTGGTAGGAAATCGACCTCTGCGTTTCGCGTTGTTCGCTACCGCATGTACGATAAGTCGATCAAAAGGATTTTTTTTTTTTTTTAAAAAAAAAATAGCCTTTGTATGTTCGTTATGTGAAATCGACAATATCGGGTTCAAGTAGTGTGATAAATTAAAATGTATTACGAAATCTCAAAGTCCGATTACCAAGGATTACCGTTGTATTTCATAATAAACGTTTAAATTAATGACAAATTGACATGTCATTAACAAACGGTTCCTTCGGTGATGCTACATCACATGAAGAAGATTTGAAGAAGCATAAATTAGTGTCTGAACTTCTCTCCCTCGAAACTTATCTATATTTCTTGTGACATTTGAAAATGAATTTCAAAATTGATGGACACGGCGCTATCGTTCTTGACGACGCAAGTACATGCATGTTCTTTTCTCCTTCAACAAAGAAGAATGAATTTATATTTGAAAAAAGATTCTTTCCGTTTTTGTCTGATAGGACGAAGAGGTGGCGGTGGTCGAATGTTGCACTTCCTCAACTCCAATCAAGAAGGAATTTGAAACCAAAGTCGGTAACTGATACGTTAACCCAGTGGACTATTCAGATATATAATACATCTTTGATATTAATCTACCTGCGATCTCTTTCGTCCAGGCCGTCAAAAGGGAGCTCGAGTACATCGAGATCAAGGATGAGGATGACCACAAATCCATGTACCCATCAACTTTCTTATATCCAACAACCGTGCGTCCAACACCCTCCCGTCGTAACCATGGCAATGCTACTGCAACTGCGCCTCACAGGAACACTCAAGATTGGACGGAGGCCGAGGATTATGCGTTATTGAGCGGAATCCAAACTCACGGTGGAAAATGGTCGATCATCTGTCGCGAGATCGATACGGGAAGGACGCCGGTTCAATGCTTTAGGAGGTGGAATAAGATGGTTCGATGTATTCAAAGAAGGGTTGCCATTCGCTGAGTCTAATCTCATCTGTTGGATTGGGTTGGGTTGATGTGTACGGAGGAGGTTTCATTGAACTTTGGAAGTGCGTTAAATAGATGAATGATAATAATAAATAATCGATAATTATTCGCATTCACGAAAAAAGAAATCACAAATTTTTAATGTCATTTGCGAACGCGTCGATATTGCTCGTTGCACAAAGCATGGAATTCAGCTCGTGTTTTTTTTATTAGTAGATGACGTTTTTTTTTTTTATGATTACATGTAATAAAGCAATTTTTTGGTCAGGTTAAGCATGAAGAATATGGGATATGGGATTTTTTTTTTTTTTTTTTCTAATGTAATGACAAACACAAGATTCGGGGATATCAAATCAAAGGAGTCCTCTCGCCGGCCGAACCGAGTAGAGGGAACCGATTGGTAATATGGTGAATCAAATTTCTCAAGATGCCTCCCGTGATAAGGCCGGATGATAGTGAGGTGGCGACGAGAATTGGCAAAGTTTCGTGTTGCTTCACGGCGATGCCAACGAGGGACCAAACAAGGGTGGCGGAGAACTCAACGTGATTTCCATAGTCGACGGAAAACAGACCGATCAAACCAATAATCGTGACGATAATTGTGGAGAAGAACACGGTGTTCAAGGCATCGACAGCTATCAACAAATTCAAGGTGGAAGCCACCAAGACCCAAGCGGCGTAGATCTTGAAAGGGCAATGGACAAAGAAAAAGTCAACGGGATTCTTTGGTGGATAGAAAGAGAGGTTCCGGCATATCAGGAATAGCATTGCGAGAAGAGCTGCAATGACGAAGAGATCCAGCAAGTAGTATCCATTTTGCTATAGAAAATGGATGGAATGAAAAGAATCTCTCGTCGGTTAGCGAAGTGAATTATTAAAATACGTATAAGTAAATAGGTATATGAATATATACTGTATGTATATGGTGTATATACCCAAACAATTAGCCAGGTCATATTGAGAATGTTGACGACGACATAGTAATATCGAATTCCATCGACGGTCACGTCGTTTGCGGGTTCAAACCATTGATAGATGACGAAACCTCCGAGTAGAACGTCAATGATACCCCAGATCGCAAAAGTGTAACCAGCCGGTTGTATGAGGATGGGTGGATAAGGGCGAACGCTGGTGGTTACATTTCCTTCGTCTTCATCGTGTCCCCTGTGGTCGGGGGCGAAATAAATATTGACGACCAGGACCAAGATGAGTGAGACCACATTCGCTACCTTGAGAAGGATGTGATAACGGGACATTGTCACCACTGGTGTTGCGTTGATTTCGATTTCGCAAAGGGAAAAAAAAAAAAAAAAAAAAAAAAGGGTTAAAGAATAATTGATTCCCTGATTACAAGGTACGCCCTGCGCTAATAAGCGATAAACTAGTAAAACGCCATTCGAAAATCTCACGTGCATTCACCAATTATGTGCTGATGCTAGTCTATTTTTTTTAGCCCAAACGTGTGTCCTTTCTCTAATAATTGTCTTGAAAACATTGGGAAAAAATCATCTCCGTTGATTATCAAAGAGTGGGAGTCTCATCCTCAATCATGCAAATGTTTCTCCTGTAATACGGGATACCGTGTACTGAAACAATGCAGATGTGCCAACTTTTTCTTTTCTAATTGCCTTAATAGTACTAGTCCAGCCAACGGGTTAAAATATCGACCATTTTTTCATAGAATTTCCCTCTGTGCACAGTGCGTGTGCACTGGTTCACTCCCCCCAAAGAAATAACGACATCCTTCCCGCCTCATCTTTAATTGTATTTGGCAAACAAGAAAGTATGACACGATATTGCCGGAGTGTTACATCACGTCCCTTTTGGACATTGATTACGAAATCTTGCATATCATCTGTATTAAATTAAATACCTTAATGAATGTGTCTTGTCACCACGGAAAATCCATCTTATCATCATTCACACACTTCTCTATCTTTGATCAGCGCGTGTGCGCACGACACACGAAAAATCAAAATGAACTAGAATTATTTATGATGTCCGTTGGGCACTGTCGTTCATGCCTAACGCTACGCTAGTTTCATCATTTTGCTCGGTGCGCTTCCTCTCTCGCTTTCCTCGTCGCGCGAGGAAAGTATTTATGGTTTGCCCATTGGCGATTTTATGCACCTCCATCAAATTCTTATCCTCGACCCAAGGCAATTTGTGTGCAAATAGCGGGCTAAGTAATTTATACAACGTTACGTCTCGCATATTGGTGTCACCAACATACAAAGGATATTTGAATGGAGCGAGGAAATATAAAATAAGATCGTCAAACAATAATATAACTTATTGGGTTAAATTGCCTACATTTTTTCTCAGCCATGATTCCCGTGTTGGAAAACTTAATCGGTTATGTCAATAATAGAAGGGCTAAGTAACATCTTTGTTTACCACGAGCGACATACCCTTCAGCCAATATAAAAAGGATAGAATTCCTGCATCCTGTTAAGAAAAAATTACGAGGACCCCAAAATTTGCAAATAAAAGATCGATTGTACATATTTTCTTTGTAGATATACATATTCAACATGGCCATACCACCGCTCCTCATTAAGATTGTTAACACCTTGGCCTTCGTCTTTCTCCTGGGGCTCAACACTTACGCCGGTTTCTTCGTAAGTATTTCTTTCCAAGTATTTTCTTCGCACATCGAGGAAGAGAACGTTCGTCATTTACAATCATTCTCCAACAATCACATCAGGATAATGATTCCCCATATCACGAAACCCACGTAACCTACATTACCCCTGCAGCCTTCGTGTACTTCATTTGGGTGCTCATTCACTTCTTGTTATTAGGCTTTGGTAAATTGAAGATTTCATCGTCTCACCGCATCCCGCTCAACACCTTCATTAAAATTTATTCTTTGCTCATTTTCCTCTTCTTCAGTCATCTATCAGTTCTTCCCCGCCGCCAACGAGGTAGTCGTCGATGGAATCCACGGACACTTCCTCAGTCTTAGTGTGTTCAATGCCATTTGGGTGTGGTTGTACTCAACCGATCACACCATCCTCGCGTTGATTCCTCTTCTCCTCGTTTCCGGTCAGGTGTCCTACGTCTACTTCATCATCAAGAACAGGTACCCGGCTGCAACCTTTGGAGAGACCGTATGGATTCATGCTCCATTCTCCCTTTACCACGGATGGATATTCGTGTTGACAGTCATCGGTGTATTCGTCGCCTTCAGTCCTGAAAAAGTCGATGATGAATCGCCCAATGTACTCACCAAGATATTTGTTGTCCTCGGTCTACTCTTCCTTGAGGGAACCGCCGTCGCATACATTGAAAAATACAAGGGAGACATCGCTGGTGCCATAGTGATTGCGTGGTCACTCTTCGGAATTGCCGCTGAACAAGATGATCCGGTCATTCACTGGGCCGCCATCATCTTGGCTGTGTTCACCACCATTCACATCTTCAAACCATTGTTCAAGAAATACGTCCTCAAGACACGTGAAGAACAAGCTCCATTAATACCTTAAAGCAATCATCATTATATTTTTTTTTAAATCTCATCCTGTATATCAAATTATCTTGTATTCCTCGTTTCACACGAGTTACCACGGTTCAATAAAATATTCTTTCAATCATCTGTCTAATTAGATGCTCTTGATTTCTGAACACGAAAAGACAGTAAATATGAATGACACAGCATATCGCGTATGGGATATATATGCCTTGGGCTGCGGCCGTATTATTCTTCACAAATCTCGACACTCTTGAATTATGTAAATTGTGTCCCCAGCACATTCTGATCGACGCATAATTTTTTAATCTTGTATACATACATACGCAAGCTTAAAAAACAATGCGTCGTCCTCGGACCAATCCGTGTTCCATCATTTTCTTTTTTGGCTACACAATACACCATTTCAAACATTATTTTTTACGCATCATTGCTTGTGCATTGTAAAGAAATAAAGTTCATTCATTATTCCGACAGGGTAGTCGAGAATTAATTGTATTGTGAGATGACCGCACATCACGCGTACCACAGGTTCCCTAATTCTTTTAATTAATCATGAAGTCAATTCAGAAAACAATTATCGTAAAATTATATAAAGGCCCTCAAATAATGAAGTCATTTTTTCTCCATAAATCGATCTCGACAGCGCAAGTCTTTAAAATAAAAAATAAATTTTTTTTTTTTTTGTTCAACGTAAACATGGTTACAATCAGTGATTCTGCTCGCGGAGTTGATCCTACGATCACTTCGACCTTGAGCCTTGCCACCGCATCCACTCTTCTCACCATCCCTCTTACCCTCCAATCTTCCACACCGTCTGCAACGCTGACACCCACCATCTCTTCAAATCTTCATGTCAACGAATCTGGATTAAACAAATCAACATTACTCGTCGTTATCATTTCTTTCTTTTTCGGCTTGTTATTTTTGACCGGCATTTTCGGCGGAGTTCTTTTATACGCGCATGCAAAAAATAGGAAGAGGACTCGCGAATTCCTATGCAGGGCCACGCAAACCGATCCCTCACCCGAATTTCCAGCATTGTCATTGTCAAAGATTGAGAAGATATTGCCAAAAAGACCGGTTCAACCAATTCCTAACAAAAAGCAGTTTACGCAAATGCCGACCCAACGCGACGAACAGATTCCACAACCCAAACCTTGGTTGCCAAGCTCCAAGGCAATTAATCTCGTCAATGAACTCACGAAAAAGCGAAGTTCAACGGAAAACGGTGATATCGAAAACGCTAAATTTGATAACATGGAGATGAATACTTTTCCTGAATCCTCCACCTCGAACACGACCGACTCTTTCATATCGACAGTATCGTCATCCTCGGAAAATAGCGAACCTTGTCCGGATCGCGCGCCGGCCTACATTGGCAAAGGAATGTCACGCGCAGTTTAATTTGGTTCATCGATACACGTGCCATCACTTGCGAAAGATGATCTGACGCATGTCAATGACGATTCCTAAACCCAAACAACTTTGAGAGAAGAATCGCCTGCTCTAAATCTCCAGGTCTGGGATGTATGTCGCTAGCATCCAAGGAAAAATCACGAGGAGTCGTCCTGCAATGAATCTTTTGATTTTCACTTGTTCAACATTACAATCGTACAAATCTTTGATAAGATTCGTCGGCGACTTGGCCATTAATAATGGTGATGTTCATATGGTTATATCACATTGTCTTATTGTTACGAGCCTTTGGAAATAGGTTTTTACCATAGCATAAATGAATAATATAAATACAGTATATTATCAGTCTTGGAGTTTTAATTTGTATAAATTGTGTTTTATGTGGCGCAAAACCTTAACCGGTTCCTGCAGCTCCGTGAATAAAATTAAGGTTTAAAGATTGTCTATTCAAACATGCATGAGCACATCACCAAAAACCTATAAAATCTATTCTATTAATATGTATCAATCAAATATGCATATTCAATTGTTTGGAATAATGAAAATACATGAAAGAATATTTATATTATATACTGTACGTACAGTATATCCTTTTTGATCATTATGACATTTAACCTTTCTAAAAAAACTTGTATCATTGCAAGAATTGCAAATAATGCAATATACTGTATTCGTGTGTGTGTTACGTTCTTTTCAGAAAAAAATTCTTTCTACAATTAAGAGAATTACATTATTTTATTATTGAAATTATTGTCTTGCTGACATCGTTTAAATCGATTATATTAACATATGGTTATCACAAAAACTCGAATCGATCGTTATCAGCATTACTTTGTAAAAATTTTTTTGCATTCAACCCTATCCTGTTAGGACAATTTGTAATCCATTTAATCGCGCGTTTCATATTCCGCGGGTTCATATTAGAAACCTTCTATGACATCCTGACACCACGGATTATCCTTGATTCTTCCTTCATATTTCTCCTTGATTTGGCAAATGTGATTTAGCGTTGAATCATAATCCATTGATTCAATATCCGACGTTTGAACAATGTCTTTCAGGAACCCTTCAATGACAGTGTTCCCTCCCTAAAATCCAATGAATAATACTTGAGCGCTTGATTTCGATCATTTTCATTTCGTGAATATTGGTTTACCTCAATTTCTTGCTTTGAACATTTTTTCGCTTCTTGATCGTCTTTGAAATAACAGGAAAATTGGTTCAATATAAATTCATCATTATAACATGAATGGTAATAAATGGTGCACCGTAAAGCTACACATACTTCGAGTGAAGTCTTCCAATTCACTTGCTTTTCTTTTTGCAAGCTACAACGTCAAGGTTTAATTCAGTATTCAGTGAGTTGAAATGTCAAAATTTAACCACTTACTTTAACGACAGTTTCAGGAAAATTGGCCAGCTCCGCAACATGAATGCCAAAGCTTTCATCACAAATGCCTGAACCCAAGGAAACTAAATTAAAAACTAGGAATGCACAGAAAGTGTTCAACCATCCAATTACGTTACCATCATTCACTTTGTACAATAAAGTAATGTCGCGCGTTCCGTTAGCATTTTGTCCAACATGTGCCGTGACGTGTAAATTACGCACATAAGGAATATTATCGCTCAAGGCCGTCAATTCGTGAAAATGGGTTGCGACCAGGCAGAAACATCTTAAATTTGTCGCTATGTATCTAAATTTTGTTTTTGAGAGGAAATAAGCAGATCATCATTTAATTTCATAAGATTGGATGCCCCTCCAAAAAACTTACTCTGAGATGGCCCAAGCCAAGCCGAATCCATCATAGGTACTCGTTCCGCGTCCGAGTTCATCTATAATAATCAATGAGTTTGCCGTCGCCGTCTAAAAAACGGGAGAGATAGATTGTTCGAGTCATTATCGACTTTGACGAATACATTGAGAATACAATTAAAAAGAAGATAGATACCTTTAATATGGTCGCCGTTTCGAGCATTTCCGCCATAAAAGTGGAAACACCCTTGAGTTGACTGTCACCTGCACCTACTCTGGCAAGTATGCAATCAAATATACACAAGCTAGCCTCTGAGCATGGAACAAAACACCCAGCTTGTGCCATCAACGCAATCACACCGATCTGTCATTATATTTCATGATTAGAACACAGCGCAAAGTGCATTACATGTATATGTAATTATTTAATATTACTTGGCGAATGTAGGTCGACTTTCCCCCCATATTCGGACCAGTGATTACCAATAACTCGCTATGGTCTGCAGGAAAAGAAAATAACGTTATAAATTGATAATAAATATAAATTTCGCATTATACGACGCACAACTACACCTTTGACCAATTGGACATTGTTTGGAATGAATGACACATCGTCTTGAACTTCTAAACAGGGATGACGCGAGTTTTTTAAAACCACTTGACCCTCCCCTGTTTACATAAATTATTAGACATGAATAAAAAAAAGCAAACTCATGAAGAATCTTGTAACGTAAAATGGGATACCTTTTTCAAAGACCTTTGGGCGAACATAGGGTATCGGTGCGTGAACGGCTACATGCGCATAACTTCCAAAAAAAAACCCCCAAAAATGATAAGTAAAATACCGTTGGGATTGCAACTTACAAAAGGAAGGTGTCCGCATCAAAGGTTTACCTGACCACGACGTCGAGATGTGCCAACAAATCATTTAACGTTTCCAAAGTTGGGCAATAAGATGCTAACGTATGGTGGTAATATTAAAATATATTTAAATAAAACGATGAACAGCAGAGAATGTGTTAAAATTACCCGCAATTGCAATAACCTCCTTCACCAGAGAACTTTGTGATTTCTCGTACGTTTCAGTTAAGTTGGTCAACGAATTGCTCAGTTCTTTCATTTTCGATGTCGTGAAAAATACACCATTTCGTTGTGTTGCAAGTTCGATAAATTGAGATTGTCCGCGAAGGCAGGATGCATCCTTGTTTTTTTTTTTTTTTTTTAGTCAACAATTAACGCAGAGTTAAGAATGAATCATATATTTGATATTTACAAAGATTTCTTACATTTCTGGAGATCCTGAAACAATGTCCATAAGTATTTTGTTTTTCAAAGTGAAGTTTTTTCTCCGTGTCCATGTCTAATTTTTTTCCCACCTATTATGTGAAAAAAAAAAAAAACGCTTTCAATATAATTACTATAGAATTTCATCGTCTATTGTATGTAATGACTTTACCCTTTGATGCTCTTGATTCATAGATTCCATGACTTCATTAATTCTTTCCTGGATATCTGAGCATAAAAAATGAGTCACAAATAAATTGCTGCAATATTAGAGCACGGCATAACCAACCTTTCAATGTATCATCAAAATCAGCCTTTATAACATAATGATGATTCTCGGCTGCTTCAAAATCGACAGTCGTCTCAACCATCTCTTTCAATTTTTCGAGCTGACTGTTATGTTCCTATATTATCATGAATGAGTTATACTCTCCCGATTAAATATTATACAGTTTATCCTTCAACCACATACCCTTAATTTTACGAGATACACATCTTCAATGGCATCCTTGACCGCATTATCTGTGACATTGAAGGATTCCAGTACATTTACCAGTTCGGGCAGTTTTACCAAAACCTGGTAGACACGTATAACGTCCTTTGAAGTATATCAACGAAATTATTTAATAAATTAAGTCAAAACTATACACTAATTTATATAATATGAAACAAATAATAATCGAACCTGCAATGATGCGTTCCCTCTTTGAAATCGTTTAGCAATCCTGTGAAGATCTGGTATGTTTCTCAGGTTCTCCTCCTGTATTCGTTAATTTTCAATGAAATCATGAGCACCCATATTGAAGCATTTTTAGCAAGACAACCAAGTTGAATACATACTCTTAACGACTGTCTAACTTCGGTATCATCCACAAAAATTTCAACAAGCGAAAGCCTTTGTTCTTTAAGAAACATTATTTAAGTAAAGTAGAAAAGGACCTGCGCACATGACCGATATTCCATACATACCAATTTCCTTCAGATTCATTAAAGGTTGTTTTAGCCATTGACCAAGCAAACGCGACCCTTGAGAAGTCTTACATTTATTCAAGAGACCAAATAAACTTGTTGTTTTATTCGATCCTGTAAATGGAATTTTCTATAAATATTTTTTTTTCTTATACGAGCAATCAACGCGAGTTCCAGAAAACTTGCCATCCTGAGGACTTGGCATCAAACTTAATGCTCTTAGCGCCGAGGAATCTAATCTCATGTATTGGGATAAATCATGGTTTCTTAAGATATAATGACCAAAATTACTTTCGTCCGTCATTAACTTTGATTTCATAGATTCACGGGGAAAATTAGTGAATGTGAATGGTTTTTAGAAGAATACTTGATAAATTTTATTTACCGATAAATATTTGATGACACTCGCACACGCAGCCAGCGCATTCTTCATTTCGTATTCGGCTGTAAAAATTTTGAAATTATTTTTGAGAAAATATGTATTTGTAATCTTTCTTTTAATAGATTTTCACATACGAAGAGAAGTCACCGAAATCTCATCTCCAAGCAAGCGGTTCAAATCTTGTTCTATGTCCTTGGTTGAAAATTCATCTGAAAATTAAGGATAAACAAGATACATGAACCTCGTAAACAACATAAAAACCAAGACAACAAAGCAAATCCAAACTTACTCTTTTTTAATTCGGTAATGACCACATCACATTTGTTCATCACATCCCTTAATTTTGAGAGATCGTAGTCTTTACGCGATTCATCCGCCTGAATAATACATTCCTTAACTCCAAGTTGGATTAGTAGAGACTGCAATTTGACATAGTTCGTTTAAAGTCGGATTAAGACAATAAGGTCCATATAACATAGTTAACTTGTAAAATACCTCAAAATTTGTGCACAAATCATTGTCTACAAATTCAGACAATCCTAGTTCGCGGATTGTTGTATCTGCGAATGCTACTCCAACAATCTTTTGTCCTTCTCGACTTGCTAGTTTAACACTAAGTACCACTGGAGATGCAGCGGCGTCTACATTGGAAAACAAAAGATCCTCGAGTTCTTGTATATTTCCCGGAGATGCCTGTAGGAGATTAAAGATCAAACGATGAGATAATAATATAAAATGAAAATAAGTTGCTCGTGAGACAAGATGCACATTTACCCTTTTAATAATTTTCCAACTATTACTTTTTCGTGATTCTTGTCCCCAAATTTCAATTTTCATTTGATTATTCAACAAAGCATCACGTAAAAAAGTTTCCAAATTAAACCGTGATAAAGTGCAACTAGGAATTCCATTCTTGATATCACCTGTTCATTGAAAAAGGTGAGTTCAGTATCAATATTGCAATCAAGATTACGAACCAAATTTAACAATATGCATACCACCCAAGTATTTTATTACAGATGATGTTTTGTACACGTTTTGCGAGATGTAAATGGCGTCTTCTCCGTGAACACTATAATATTCCTAAAAGTAATTCGAAGATTAAACACTATTGATAAACATATTAGATAAAGCATCAGCGGAGGGATAACGCACTCCTGAACTTCGTTCGAATAACCGGATAGTATTTCCTGATTTCTGTGTTAATAATGATAATGTCCGATGTTAAAATTCGGAATTCATGTAATCGCTATCCTCTGGTGCAGTTTAAAAAAAAAAGTCACCTCAGGAAGACCTCTGAGAAAAGAGCAAAAGCCTTGTTCTCCTTGTTGATTATCTAAATATCATCATAACAAGAATATCTTAAAACCCTTACAGTGGAAACTCGTGTATGTAAAGAAAGAACACGTATTTTTCCTAAAAACTATGAGCTGAAACGTCAACTCTTTTTCTAAAAAAAAAAGTTACGAACCGAAGGTTAGGTCTGGTCTGTCTTTCAACGATTTCTCCATGGATTTTGAAGCTTGCGTGATATTTTAATCGAGTGAAAAAAATCAACCGTTCTTTCGCGACGCGTTTAATAGAAATTTGAGTAACTAGCGTGAAACGTTGAAAACCAAATTCCCCGAATAGCACGTGCAAATGCATAGCCTTTTTTTTTGTGCAGGAATTTTTTCCCCGAATGCATAGAAGTCATTTAATAAATAAAAATTTATTTTTTTTTAGTAATACCCGCAGCCAGGTTAGATAGTAGTTTATTAATCTTAAGAAGGCAAAAGTACATATTCACCAGAGCAGGAGGAAAAATGCTATAGCTAAACATTTATATCATATCTAACTAACTCGTCGTAAGCATAAAAAGCCTCTAAGTCAGGTCTTGGGGATAATATTTTGCTTCGAAAAGGATTTTGGGTGAAGACCCTCCTAATTCCTTTTCATCACAGCCAGCAGTTTGTAATTATTCTTAGTATCTATCTATACAGTATATATATGATCCTCATATTTTCTATCAAATACAAAGCAAAAAAAGAATCAGATAGAAGGAATAAAAACAATAAATATGGAGGAAAATGATAAACTTATTTATAGAAGAACAAAAAGTACTATTCAAAAATAAAAAGTAAATCGAAAAAGATATAGGATTATATAATATAAGAGAAATAATAAATATAACAAATCAATAAAGCTTATTAGAAGAAATAAAAAAATAGGGAATATGAATATTAGGATTAAGTGAAATTAAGCTTTAGTATAAATAAAGAAATATATATATACAGTATATATACAATATTTATTTTTTAACCCACAATTAGGTCAGTATGGCTTGTCTTTATTGTATATACAGTATAACTAAAGATGGGTCTCTAAAGGGAGAGACAGGAACAAAAATCAAATGTCTCTTCCTAGGAAACATTAAAATTTTTAAATTAATAACTATAAAAAAACTACCCACAATTGTTCTTTATTATCCAAATTATTGATTTATAATATTTCCTGACTTTTATCCCTATTAAAGTGAAGAGCTATGAATTTTGTTCCTTAAAAAGGGACATAAGTGATCTGCAAAATTTTATATACTAAATACTTTAGTAACCCATCATTATATATAACAGATATTTATAAATTGTTTTGATTTTCATATACTAACTCACCTATCATTGAAAAACTATTTCTCTAGATACAATTTAAGGAAGGATATTTTGTTCCTTTACTGACTTGGATAAATCTTCTAGTCAATAAAATAATTGCCTATAGGTTATCACTATTGATTATTCTAAATTTCAACTGCAATTAAAAACCAAACCATTTTCTTCCATGACAAATTTAATTCTAGATGATTTCTTTCTTTTTTTTCTTTCAAAGACTTCTTGTTTCAGATCTTTTGCAAATGTAGGTTTTTCTTCCTATTCTTATGTAACCTGCATAATGAATCTATGCCTAGGTCCTTTAATTCTTTTGTTCTTTTCAATAATATTCTGTTTCTTTTCCTATTCTATTACTTTTTTACAGCAATTATTTCATATATGTTTCTTGAAATTTTTCTCATTTTATAACAAAGCTTATTGATTATGCTCTATATTACTGTCAATGAAATTTTGAGTTGTGCTTTGAGGTAATTCTTTAAGGAAGTGGTTTTGTTCTCTTCCATATATCCACAAATAATATTGAAAAGACTTCTATTAAATTGTTGAATTTTGTTTAATCATTTACTTGTTCAGTCATTAGTTATAAGATGAACTTCTTCTTTGTCTTTGATTTCTTTATTGATATAGCAGTTAATCTTTTCCTTTGTTTTTCTCTATATATCTTCTTTGATTTCTTTGATAGTTAAATATTCAAACAGATGTCCTAATGTTTTTTCTTGAAGTTTGTATATTGGATAGATCATTATAATATAAATATCTGATTTTATTTTTTTTAATATCTGCAGTACTAAAGTTTATTATGGGTCAGGTTAGTCAAGAAGCTTTGTCTTTATTATCTTTGAAAGAGGTATCAAAGATATTGAATAGATTGAACTGATTTCAGAATATTAACCAGTCTATACTTTTGTTATTTTGAATCTACAGTTCTTGAATTCTTTTCTATATTATCTAATTTTTTTCTATCTTTTTCCTGTTAAATGTTTTGACAAATTTTTTAATATTGATTTCTATCATATGCTCTTTACATGTAGCTATTGTAAGAACTGTTCCTAACTCTAATAATTGGTACCAGATTATTGAATTTTCACATCTAGTTTGTTTGATGAGTAGATCTATTTGATTGTTGAATTTATCAATTCTATGGACTTTGACCTTTATAATTTTTAAGATAGGATCTTTCTTTTTAACTAGGTTTTTGATTTTACTCTATAATGGTCAATTAGCAATCTTTGTTCATTTTTTTGTTAATATCTCTATTTGTGAACTGATGGACTTCCATGTCTTAACTACAGTATTACAATCAAAGAATATTGAAACTGTTATGTTTTGGAGAGCTGTTTATATTGTAGTTAGAATAACCAATATTTCTACCCTGCTTGCCAATAGCCATGTTGATATATCTACTGAGAATTGCTTTATAACTTTGTTGTCTTCTACTAGAACCCAGTCCAAACCTATTTCAAGCTCACTATCTTTTATCCCTTTTTTATAAGATTTATCAATATAAAAAGTAAACTGAGTGGCTGTACATCTTCTATTATATTTCAAGACATCTATAATTCATCTATATGTTCTTCTGATTGGATGGCTTGTCTTATTAACATAGCTTTCTAGTTTTTTATCTGGATTTTTACTTTTGATCTAGATATTAGTAGAGTTCTAGTTTGTTATCTTGTAGTTATAAGCCAATCTATAAGGTTGTCTAGCAGAAGAACTTGTTTTTCTTTTCTTAAATTTTCATGTTTGTTTAGTTGTGAAAGAAGACGAACTTGTAATATATTTATTTCTTTTACTTGGAATAATCTATTTGATTGAAGTAAAGTATGATTACTAGTAGGATTGTATATTAACTGATATGAAGCAAATTGAAGTTTGTTGTTTAAGAATGATGTCTTTTTCCATATATCTGTTGAAAAGCTAGAGCAAACTATCCAATATGTTTTTCTTTTATCTGGATATACTGGAAAAGTTTCAATTTGAATATTGTAACCTGTTTAATCTAATCTGTATAATAATTTTCTTAGAAGATCATGATTCTCTGTCATTTTTTCTTGGACCTTTTTATATTAAGAGGAGATTGGATCTTTGCATTTGCTAAAGAAAATCTCGATTGTTTTTCATTCCTTGGGTATCAACATAGTTATATTAATAATTTGATCTAGGAACATGATCTTGTACTTACAAAGTAATGAAATTACTTACTTATATTCTCTATTATTTTGTAGTATTGACTTAATAGATAAGATATCTCTCTAATAATTAAAAATTTCCTTTCATCTTCAACTTTGAAAAGTAATATATAGGTCTTTGGCCAGGATCAATATTATAATTGCCAGGTTTCCTTTGATTATCTTGTATGAGTTCACAATATTATTCAAGATATTTTCTGTTTCCAGCTTTTGATCTGACTCTGTTTCAATCAGATTATAGTGATCAAATTAAAGATCTCATTATTATTGAGCTGGCAGAATAGTACTGATATATGGCTTTCCAATTGTATTTCACAAATACTTTTGAAACTATATATTTTTTTGTTGTGGATACAACTATTCAATATTGTTCTACAGATTAGTGCTTTATTCTTAAAAACCTTTTTGAATATGGCTATTAGTTTATCACATGTCTTATTATTAAGGTATATATATTGTATTCTATATTCTATTCTGGGGATTAGCACTTTATTAATAACATAACAAGTATGTTTTTCTGTTAGCTTCTTCTTAGATATTGCCTAAACTATCACACTAATTTCTGATTTTATTAGATCAATCGTATTCTGACTTTTCTGTTTTGGTTCCAACTAAATACTAAAGAATCTGGCCTGATCTTTTTTATTAATTTTATTAATTATGATATTTTCTATCCCAGCTTGAACCCTTTCAAGATCTTGAGAATTTCAGTTGATGGTAAGAAGAATTGACTTTGTTGCATTAATTCATGAGTTATTTGCTATGTAGAACTTTTTTGCTTCTTCCAAAATACTTTTCAAATCTTTCTTGGATTTGACAATCCATATTGTGTCATCCATATAAGCTATCACTACTTGTCTTAAGGAAAGTTTGATCTTCTCCTCAGATTTGTGAAAGTTGAATAACCATTCTTCTTTCATAGTATAACTCAGATTAATATTATTTTGAATTTTATATAATAGCAGGTCATAAAAAATTCTTCATAACAGTGGAGATATTGTTTTTCCTTAATCTATACCATCTCCTACAACTATTGGGCTAGAAAGTCCATTGAGAAGAATAATACTACAACTTCTGTCTTTGAAAAGATTTATTATAATCTTTTTAATAATTATAGGAATTTGAATCTGATCTATGGGTTTTTCAAGTATGAAGAGGAATATTGTATCATATATTTTAGCAGTATCTTGAAAGAGAATCCTTAGTTCTTTCTCTTTTTTTCTAGCTTCCTCATATATACTATTTAGTAAGTAGATGGATTCTACTGTACTTTCTTCTGATAAGCCAGCAAAGTTTAAACCTTTGAGGATTTTGTATTATTTATATACTCTTGATAAATGATTGGTAAGAATTTTAATAAAACATTTGCAAGTTGTTTCTAGAAGAACAATAAATCTAATATTGCTCAATTGATATTTTCAAGGCTTGGATTTAGGAATAAAGTAAATATTACTATTTTTTCATTTCTTAGATATTCATCCAATATTTAAAACTTTGTTAAACAATAAGTATAAGGCCCCTTTTTCTTTAATACCTAAGTACTTGAGTATTTCATAACTGATATATGAGGGACCTGTTGTCTTATTGTTTACAAATTGTTGCAAAATAGCTTTGAGCTTCTCTATTTTGATTTTCTCTATTAGTAGTAAGTATTATATTGGATCAATCCACTCTTTA